GGATAACACATTATTGGCATACGACAAATAACGAAATTTTTTTTAGGACTTAATTTCACTCATGTGCTACGTAGTAGCACATGGAGTGACATTAACTACGACGAAAGAATTTTTCGGTATTTTTCATATACTCCCCATATTGTATTATCAATTGGTTTTTTAAATAGAATTTGCCTGTAAAATGCTTTAACATTTTAAAAAATCCTAGATTTGTGGCGCAGTATATCGGTGTAAGGGTCAATAATTAAAATTTTGACATTGATCAAAATACGATTGCGAAAAAATCAAAACATTTCGTGTGATTGACGAGTATAAGTTTTCGACATCATATTTTGCTACTAGTATGAATTTCTCAAGCTGTTTTTGTGAAAATGAATTTGTACATCATTTATAAATTCAATATAATAATTAGGAACTCTGAGAAAACATCCGTCAAAAAATTTTAAATTCTCTGATATGATTGTCGCTCTTCAAATGAATTAAAGCAATACAGTAAAACCTCCATAAGTGCACACCTTCAGGACCGAACTTTAACGACATGCACTTAGAGAATAATAAGAATAAGTCATTTATAGAGGCCATGTATATATTTGCGCCCAAATTTAAGCGTGCATTTAGAGAGGGTGTGCACTTATAGTGGGAGCACTTATGGAGGTTTTATTGTAGTCTTGAAAAAACATTCAATTAAGGTTAATTAATCATATGCACTTTTTAATATTTTAAGTCAATAAAAATCTGGAATTATAAATTACATGATATTTTTAATTCATATATTTTGTTAATTTTGAAAAATTGTAATCGACATAGCTTAAATTCGATTTGGATTTTTATTAATTAGACCAAGACACAAAAGTCAGCGTTCTTGTATATAGCCTTTGCTAATGTTTTCTTCTTTAGAACAAGTTTTATTATCACTAAGACTCAAGTAAGTCAAAATAGTGTTTCCACGCTAATGATTTCCCTTTTTCAGAATTAATATCACTAAGATTTAAAAAAATCAATGTTCCTCTGCAATGCTTTCACTTATTCAAATTAGTATCAAGATTTAAAGAAGTTAATGTTCATGCATAAAGCACCTGCTTATGTTTTTCTTCCTTCAGAATTAGCAATAAAAATGTACGCGATCCTGATATAGTGATCGGAGTCTTTTATTACATATAACCATTATGGCTAAGATTTAAAGAATTCAGAGCAGTGTTCTTATACAGAGCATCTGTTAATGCTTTTTCAGCTTCAGGAGTAAGTAGATTATAACTAATATCTAAAGAAGTTAAGGTAGTGTTTTTGTATAGAGCATTTGCTAATGCTTTTCCACCTTCAGAATTAATCTCATTATAGCTAAGATCCAAAAAAGTCAGAATAGTATTCTTGCATAGAGCATCTGCTAATGCTTTCCCACCTTCAGAATTTATTTCATTATGACTAAGATTCAAAGAAGTCAATGTAGTATTCTTGCATAAAGAGTTTGCTAACGCTTTCACTTCTTCAAAACAAATATAACTAGCACATAGATTTAAACAAGTTAACGTACTATTCTTGCATAAAGCATCTGCTAATGCTTTTACTTCTCCGGAACTAATATCATTATAGCTAAGATCCAAAAAAGTTAATGTGGTGTTCTTGTATAGAGCAACTGCTAATGCTTTTCCTCCTTCAGAATTAATTTTATTATGACTAAGATCCAAAGAAGTCAGAGTAGTGTTCTTGCATAAAGCATCTGCTAATGCTTTTGCATCTTCAGAATAAATATAATTAGCACACAGATTTAACAAAGTTAGAGTAGTGTTATTACATAAAGCATTCGCTAATGCTTTCACTCCTTTAGAACAAATACCATTATAACTAAGGTCTAAAGAAGTCAAAGTAACATTTTTGCATAGAGCATTTGCTATTGCTTTTCCACCTTCAGAACTAATATAATTATTACAAAGAATTAAAGAAGTTAGGGCAGTGTTCTTGCATAAAGCCGTTGCTAATGCTTTTCCACCTTCAGAACTAATGTCGTTACAACAAAGATTCAAAGAAGTCAAGGTTGTGTTTTTGCATAAAGCAGTTGCTAATTCCATTACTCCTTTATAACCAATATCATTATAGCTAAGGTCCAAAGAAGTCAGATTAGAATTCTTACATAATGCATCAGCCAATGCTTTTCCACCTTCAGAACCAATATCATCACTACAAAGAATTAAAGAAGTTAGAGCAGTGTTCTTGCATAAAGCATCTGCTAATACTTCTTCACCTTTAATACTAATAACACTATAACTAAGATCTAAAGAAGTAAGAGTGGTATTCTTGCACAGAGCTTTTGCTAACACTTTCATTTCTTTAAAAGTAATTTTACTACAACTAAGATCCAAAGAAGTCAGAATAGAATTCTTACAAAGAATCTTTGCTATTGCCTTATATTCAAGGTCATCTTTGATACTATATCGAATAGAAGTAACAGTAGTGTTTTCATAAAGATTTTTAAATATTACTTTATTGTAAATCATTTTACTAAGATCCAAATACTTAAGTTTATGACTTGTTCGTAAGAACATCGCAATCAAAGAACAAGTAATAGTGTTTACAAGCTTATAATTAATTTTTTTCACATTGCCATTATATAATTCATAACAAAGCCAATTTTCGATTCCATTATGCAAACCATAGCCAATAGATATAGTATGACTTGTATATTCAAACAGTAATTTTGGATGATTCGGAAATATAATTTTAAAAGGGATTAATAATGCTTGTTCTTCAGAATTTAATGTTAAAAGGTATATATTCATAAGCCTTTTATCGTTAACATAATTTGTTGGTTCACTCCATAGTATTGGTACAATTAGTCTACACCATTGGCGATTTACAAGAAGACATGAGAATAAGTTTTTATAACGTGTACGAAGATTATTAAATATGTCACAAAGCACTTCGTTCGGTAATGCGATCATTTTAATAAAGGGATTTTAGTAAGTATATAGGTTTAAGTTCGGGGAAGTATAATTTATACTAAATTATGTAAGAAATTATGTAAGATATCAAGTATTATGAACAATATTTTCATATTAATCGTATAGAATGCATATATTGTCACGACATTTCTGAAGATCATGAAGAACTAACGCTAAAGGGATGGATAACACGTGAGGCTTTGCATATCAATATCGTACGATAATTACGTAATGGTATGATTTCATTAAGAACAACGGTGGTGTCATGAAAATTATGATCTGTAACTCAGAATCATTGGATTTTGGTAGAACAAAATAGTTAGCAACATTTATTTGCGTTTAGATGCTATTTTTGCATTAATCACTTGACTATTGCTTTGATTTTTCTCATACGCTAATTACTATTATTAAAAATATTATGAAAGAAAAATGGAATAATAAATTAAAAGTGATAGTAAAACCGTAAAACTTTATGTTAATTCTACCAGTATCAAATGAACGGTTCTTAAAAATGCCATGAACACCGCTTTTAGATTGATACCTTAAGTACAAAGATAATCTTTATGAAAGCGAAGAAAAATTTATTGCTCAGTAAGTGCCAATTGCTCTACACTCTTTAAAAGTATTCAATGCCTTAATCCTCAATATGATTGTGAAGATACTTCATGATACGATTTATCAATTTATTCTGATATTTTTCAATTTAAAATCTCACCAAATGAATTGATTAATGAAAAGAACGTACATTAATATTTGTTAAAAGACTGAAATTAATACTAGATTTAATTTAGAGAATATTGAAGACAAATTATATACCTTATCTATCTTTTCAAAAATTGCTCAGGCTTATATTTAGGTTCTCGTTTTGGGAGTAGATGTCGAACGTTTATTTCAAATTATAAACATATTTAGTGATGATATGGATGAATAGTATTTAGAATGTAATGCATCTATAAATTTATAATAATTATTTTATATATAATTTTTTTGCTATTTTGCAAAGTGTGCTAATTTTACTAACTAGTTTTGCTTTAACGGCCGGTGGACCTGATGTATTCTTACATAAATTTCAATAACCAGATTTTATCTAATTTTTATCGTATTATATAAAGTACAACTTTAGAAAAATTCAGCCAGCATTATTGCAATATTTAACTTGAATGTATAATCTAAATTGTAGCTCAAAATTGATTACTGCAAAATTTGCATAAATTACAAATAATTACGATAAATCACATCTATAAAAGGACCAAAGGTCAATCGGGAAAAAATACCAAAAAAGGAGTTAATATCAACTTAGTCCGTCTTCATGTTTGACCCACAGATTTATTCTTATACAGTCAGATTTTTAACTGCAACCCTAAATGCATATTCTATGAAAAGTCTTCCTAAATGTATGCTTACTTGATGTGATACTTTTAGATTTTTCTCCATAAATGCAATACCTCCCTAATGCACAGTCAACTGATTTTTACATATGGTTCCATCAAAGTGCATTTATAGAAGCCTGACTGCAATAATAAATAATAGATTTACAAAATTACAACTTTAAAAAATGGTTTAAAACACGTTCGACGACATAGGCTTTTTCTGGTTTTCTATAAATAATAATTGGCTGGAGCTGAGGGAGCAAGGCGAAAGCCTTCAAGTCATACACTACGAATTTTCGGAGATGTCCGGCTCCCGCTTCACTTGATCCAAATTTTAGATTCGAATAACCAGAATTGAACCTAAATTGGGTTCAATATTTGATTACCGAAATTTTGGGTTTAAAATGCAATTGACTTTTAAAATATAGTAGCGGAAATTGATTTTTAATTAATAATTAATTATTAATTATAATAATTAATAAAGTAAAAACACGTCATTGTATCGATGCAAATATATTAAATAAAATAAATAAAATAAAAAAATAAAATTATATTAAATAATAAAAAAATTTAAAATAGCTTATATACTTATTCGATTTGGTAAATTTTTATTAAAATGCAAAAGCGCAAAAGAAGTTACACACCTGAACAAGTAGCCATAAGAAATGAGGCCAGAAGAAAATGAAAAAATTCAATGACCCAAGAACAGCAGCTAGCACATAGAAGAAACAAATCGGAAAAAAGACAAGCCTGTCATAAGTGTCAGTTAGCAACTAATAATAGTAATATTATAGGAAAGGAGAATACCAATCGAGACGAACAAATAAATAGAGAAGACAACATAAATAAAAGTATAACTCTTTAACTAAATTATAATTATAAAAAATTATGAAATTTTAACATGCTATACACATAATTTAATTTAGAAAATGAAGTATCACCTGCTTGTCAACTTACTGATGATGATCACAATCTTCTCAAAAAATTCCATGATGCAGTTGCAGAACTCAAATATAATTATTGTCCTATATGTAAAGAATTCTTTTTTTCAATTCCATTAAATTATAAAACTGGCAATTGTGATAGATGTAGTAGAGACAAATTAATACAAAAAAGGTTTTCACTAGAAAATAATAAGGATTCAGGTACATGATAAAAATACTTAATACTAGGTTAATGCATAGCATTGTGTGTCCGAAGCCTAATAATATTTCTAAAATATATAACAAATTATTTAACCAAAT